CGGTCAGCCTGACGGACCTGCTGCCTTCACCGAAGGCCTCAAGGACATGTGCTTCGACGAAGGTATGGTGATGCGCCTGCCCGTGGCCATGAAGGGCGGCCCCGTACCCAACATGAAGTGGTACAAGGACGGCCAGGAGATCAAGCTGGACGACCGCTGCTTCTTCACCTACGACGGCGATCGGGTAAGTCGGGTTTCCGTGGACAGCTGCCTTCGGCCTGCGCGCGCTCTGTTCTCAGAACTGGCAGGAAGGAGGCATCGTTACTGGATGTTTCCTGAACCGAGGCCATGTACCGATTCCTTTATGACGCGTCTCTAACTCATGTCTCCTTCGTCTCTCATCCAGACATACCTTGAAATCCGTCCTTGCAAGGGATCCGATTCGGGAATGTACAAGTGCGTAATCCAGAACAGCCATGGATCGGCTGAGACGGAGTGTGAAGTGTCCATCAGGAAGTGCTACGAAGCTCCATTCTTCACCAACACCTTCACTAGAATGGATAAGGTGAGCTATCTCCGCACATCAGTGCACTGTATCCGTCAGACTTCCTTTGATAAGAAGCATATCAAATTATACAAGCAATACAAGATTTGCATATCATCGGAAAACACACCCACTGAATTTCAACCTAAAAATCCAGCTACAGATCCTTGATTTAGATGTCTCTCACGCAACCGCTTGCTTCTTCACAGCTGCCTGGTAGTGAGGTTAAGATGTCGGTGAGGTACGACGGCGTGCCCAAGCCCGAACTCTCCTGGTTCCACAACGGCGAGCCCATCCTTCACGACGGCGACAAGTACCGCATCAGGAAGGACGGCGATGGCCAGACTCTCACGGTGAAGGAGCTCACCTACAGCGACTCTGGCGCCTGGAAGGTTGTCGCCAAGAACCGCGAGGGAGAAACTGAGCACGAGGCGGAACTCAACGTTTCGGATGACGTGTAGGTTATCATCTACACTGGGATATTCCATAAATAGTTTGTTGAATGCACAGGAGCGTATTCACACTTTCTTTTCCTTTCGCTTCAGGGATCCTAACAGGCGCATTGAGGCCCCTGTGTTCATGAAGGTGATTGGAGACCAAGAGCTCTTCGAGGGCTACAACGCTCTCTTTAAGGCCGTGGTGTCGGGCAAACCAGAGCCTGAGTTCAAGTGGCTCAAAAACGGAGGCACCATCGTGGCATCGTGAGTAACATTTTACAGGATGAAAGACACATACAGCCATTGTCATGCGATTGCAATAAAATCATTTAGGTATCCATTTATATTCGGAAACCCCAGGTCGTCATTTCGTACTGTCTGTAAATAGACAGTGACAGACAGTATGATCGGGTTTAAAACTCGTCTCGTTCGCTGACCATTTACACTTACGAGAAAGTCTTATGAAACCCGAGATTATTTCAGGCTCACTGGACCGACTCGGCTCGTGCTCGGTTGGTATTCAAGGCCCGATACAACGACCGTGAAAGGATAATTTGGAATACGATGACGATAATGGGGAAATTGACAATAGGGATAATAGGTGTTGATAATGATAACGATGATAATAATAATAAAAGAATAATAATGAGGGTAATGGTAGTAATAATAATATTAACAATGTTGATAATAATAATAATGATAATAATGATAATAATAATAACAATGATAAAGGATATAATTATAATGATAAATGATATCAGTAATGTGATGATAATAATGATGACAATAATTATGATAATAATGACGATTATTATTATCATCATTATTAACAATTAATGTTAATCATTATAATTTTATTATTACTATTACTATTATTATTATTATAATTTTTATCATCATCATCATCGTCATTGCCGTTATTATTAATAATGATAATAATGATAATAATAATAATAATAATAATAATAATAATAATAATATTATTATTATTACTATTATCATTATTATTATCATCATCATTATTCTTATTGTTAGTGTAAATGTTATTGTTATTATTACCATTATTATTATTATTATTATTATTATTATTATTATTATCATCATCATCATTGTTATTATTATTGTGTATATTATTATTACCATCATTATTATTATTATTGTGGATACTGTTGCATTGTTATAATCATTAATATTTCAATTATCATAATTTTTATTGTTGTTACTGTTTTTATTGATATTACTGCCATTATATTTATCATCAGATATTTGCATTATTAATATTACTATTATTATTAATTATCATGCACGTAATAATTATGCATAATGATATTCTAATCCATACAGCGAGGAGAGCTAGATAGGATGAGATAAGACAAACAGATAGGAATAAAACAAAGAAAGAATTGCATGCATAATTTCAACCCCAAAACGCACACGGATACTGTAGGATATGTTGCTGGCGTTTCCGCGCTCAGCCCCGACCACGCACCCCCCCTCCCCCGAGACCCTTTGTACGGCTCAAGGCTCTGAGCGCGTCCCTTCTTCCCTTAGAAACCGCGTTATTATGGAGCGCGATCCC